ATTATTATTATTATTATTATTATTATTATGTTATTGTTGTGTTGTTTAAAGCTATGCATGAAACACACTACAAGCTTATTTACAAATTCTTGAAATATATAAAGAAAGTTTAGAGGGAAACCTTAAATTTTTTTGTTCGCCGCATTATTAAATATTGCGTGCGGTGTTATATGTTCACAAATGCTCCATTTTTGTCCTCTGATCTATAGAACTATATAAAAAATCATATTGGAGAAAAAAATAAATAAATATTATATGATAATTGCGAACACAGTGTAACTAATAACTTGAGGTGATAGATATAACCACATTGGTGGAGCTTATGCTTCACTCGGTGGAGTTGTTTTATGAGATATGTCTAATGGGCTTCATGTGCATTTTAAACAAGGTAGAATGATGATAATTTTAACAAGTTGGCGAGCATTGGTGGAGCTTATGCTTCACTCGGTGGAGTTGTCTTATGAGATATATCTAATGGGCTTCATGTGCGTTTTAAACAAGGCAGAATGATGATAACTTTAACAAGTTGGCGAGGGTCATTGGTCATTGAACTTTGATTGAGTGCTATTGAGTTTCAAGTGAGTCCTACTAGTGAAATATGCCCATGGAGCACTTGTTATCATGGTCTTTGTCATTGGTAATTAAATTTTCTTTAGATTGTTGATAGATATTTAGCTTAAGAAATTGGTTAAATTATTATCCTTGAGATAATGGGTCACTAGGTATCAATAGCCATTATAATTTTGAGAAAATGCTTTTCATTAGATACTTTTAAAAGCTATGCTATCTTGGAAACAATTTCTCAAGCTACACCAAATTAGTATATAATGTGATTTCTAAAGAACTACAATATATTATCTATTTTGACTTATTTTAACGAATTACGTATTTTAAGAAATAATTTCTTATGGCCAATATAATTTTATATTTTCTTGAATAATGAGAGTATATTGGGCCAACAATTTACATAACCTAATACTCAAATTGCTAAGAGGCAATTATTAGGTGTAGAAAATTTGGATACATATGTGGAATATGACTTTAGACTTGGCACTAATGACATATTTTATGATGCCAACACAATGATGGGTAATGGTTTGCTAATTATTGCAAATTCTTTTGATTCTTAATTAGATTTTTGTGCTTGATTGATAAGCTCCACAAAAGTACTCATGAATTTCACTTGTTACCATATATGTCATTTTTTTGTGTAGACAACAAGACACATTTAATTGAATGAGCACCAAAAAAAGAATATCATTAATCAAAGCATACAATAATTTATTTTTTCAAATTAAATAATAATAAAACATTCTAAATGAACTTTATGTTAGCTTAAGTATTTAATAGAAACTCCAAGATCAATCAACATTTTCATCTATAAAAGTATTTAACACTAAATCTTGATCTTATTAATTTAAAGATTCTAAGTGTATTGTGATAGACTGTAGATTAAAGTTTTATAATATGGATCAAAATATTAATTTAGTTTTCAGCTAGGTTTAAAATCTCATTAGTTAATTTATCCAAATTTGTGGTATTGTTGCTATAGTAAATGGGCATTTTAATTAAAACGAAATTAGAAATACTCTCAAGAAACAATATAACCCGATAATCATAATAATATAGATTATAATTTAAAAGCTTGAACACTAAAGCTAATTGACTGATAACCAAGTAAGAATCACCATATATTTTATTCTCTCAATATTCATATAAATGTCTAATAGAGGGCCAAAAATGAAATTTTCATAATTTACTTCATTGCTACTATAAGTTTCTCTTAGAGCATATGAGTATTGGATGATATCTTTGTTGGGGGATATAAATATACTATGATTCTTACTCTAAATTTGAAGAATTTATTAAATACATTAATTTTAATATAAGAATGATCATCAAAATATAACTCTCATTCCCATTTCTTTATGGAATAAGATTTCTCATTAGGTCAATTATTGTTCAAAAGAAAATTAGTTGGTATAGAATATGCCGCTTAAAAATCAACAATTTTTTCCATTAATGGTTCACTTTGGAACTTAAGTAATTTCAAACTAGAAAATGAATATTATTCATGTGGCTCAATGAATTAACAAAGTCTACCCAATTATTAAGTGCTAGCAAATATAAACTGTTCAAGTGGTAACATGTAATATCATAGCTTATATATATTAAATGTTAGGACTAGGCAATATTTTTTATTTTATTTTTTATTTTATGGATTAAAATAATAAGAAACACTGTTTTCCTTGTCTGTTAACTTGGGTTATAACCATCTCAATTAACTAGTTAAGAGCTAAAATATATAGAAGCAAGGATTTCTTCAATATTATAGATATCTTTACTAAAGGATTAAACAAATAGCTTTCAATATAATTAGACACAGCTTGCCAAGATTTATTCCAATAGAATTGGGTATTTTCTTAGCCAACAAAGTAAATGGTTGACATCTAATAAATATAGTAGATATAAATTCCTTAAGAAATCAATCTTTCTTCGAAGGAATTGCAACAATGTCAAGTCTTAGGAAGTTTCAGTTTTAAAATTGCCTTCATTACTATAGGATTAATCCTAATTTTCTTATGATAGATGATGAATCCTAAAAAAATCTTATGAAAACTCTAAAAGTGCACTTCAATAGGTGCACGTCATCAAATATCCCAGTCGTGGCAGATTAACATATAGTGCTAACATTTATAAATATGAAAAACATTAGTTTATAATAATAAATGCATTTTGGGGTTCAAAATGCTATTAATTGTTCATCTTTTGGGGTCAACTTGATTTGAACTATGAATTTAAGCCACAAAAGAAAAAACATTATTGGATTAAAAGTAAAAATGACACCAACTTAGATATAGTAATAATAAATTCTTCTTTTGGATATTTCTTTTACGATCCCTAAAATTAATATAAACATATTTTTTTTTCTTTTTTGAATAGTAAATCTTGATTATATACTGCTACTCTCAAGTGTACCATAATCAATCAACTTCTTTATCTCTTCAATGACTATTTTTAAAATGTTAGGGTGCATCATATCATTTTTTTTTAATTAGAGTGATATTAAGATTTATTTATAGTTAATAATAGTCTATTTTTGGGTGTTGAACATAGCATCTATGTATGAATCTAAGCAAAGCAGTCCTCCCACCAAACTTAAATTATCCATTATTTTCGTATGATGTTGAAACTATTTTTAAGATAAATTGTTTAAAATGTTGAATAATCAAATGAGAAGAGTAATAAGAAATAGATGCAATTTTCATTTCAGCACTAAAATTAAAGATTAAATCTAACTACACTATTCGTAAGGTATATTTGTATATTAAAAAAAATAAAATCTTCATGATGATTGTTCAAAAAGGGTTGTACATAGTTTTCAAAACAAACTTTAATAATACATTAAAAGCTATATAGATCATAGTTCACATGTTATTATTGTGGATCAAAAAACAATACCTCATCACTGAAAGAGCTGCATTGAAGTACAAACATACTTGAAATGAGTTTTTGTTTTTTTTTTGCATTTGCATTTGTATTTGCATTTACATTTGCATCTAATTTTTAAGATTTAGCATTCAATGTAATATCCTATTTTACATCCCGCCTACTATTTAAGAAAAGAATGAAAGTGAAGATAGAGAAGTATACTCGTAATTAATGTTAGGAGAAAGATAGGTTGAGTGAATTGGCTTTTCGTTACTCATGAAGCACCCATGATCAACATATATACTTATTTCACTGAGTATGAAGGGTTGAAGCTCACCTGAGATGGAAAAAAAGTTTACCTCCATCAATGTATTAAATAAATTGGTGTTAGCTACAAGATATCATCATCTCATACTTATGTAGCTAAGACATATGATTAAATACTGAATGACAAGAATATTCTACTGTTGTTTTTATATAAGTTCTTGTTTGTGCGATTTTATTTTATGTTGTTTTGTAGTAATATATGTGCAGTTCAGGTTTTAAAGGACTAGTATCCTACGATTCTGAATTAGAAAGAACTATTAGAAAAATAAAAAAAATAAAAATACAAAAAAGACCAAAAATTTCAAGAAATGAAAAACTAAAATCATCAAAATGGTGAAATTAATCAAGAATTTAGACCTTTAAGAGATTATGCAAACTCTACAATAGATGAACTTCATTGTAGTATTCAAAAACCTGTTGTAGTGGCTAATTCATTTGAACTTAAATCTGTTATTATTCAAATGGTATCAAATAATCAGATTGAGGAAATAATTCATTTGAACTTAAATCTGTTATTATTCAAATTGTATCAAATAATTAGATTGAGGAAACACTAACTGAAGATCCAAATCTACAGCTTGCCAAGTTTCTAGAATTGTGTGCTGCATTTAAATATTATGGTGTTTCAGATGATGCTATAGGACTTAGACTTTTTTCTTTCTCACGAAGGGATAAGGCTAATATATGGTTATAAATTCATTAGCATATGGATCTATCAGAACTTGGGGTGATTTAGCGCATAAATTCCTTTCTAAATATTTTTCACCATAAAAAACTGCGAAATGATATTACATCTTTTTGTCAGTTTGAAGGGGAATCTATTTATGAAGCATTAGAATGATTTAAAGAACTTCTAAGAATCAGCAATGGGGCAACACCAAGTAAACTCATTGGGAAACTGAAACAACCAAGATAATAATAATTATAGGTCTGCTTATTCTTCAGGTTTTAACAATAATCCACAATTCAAAGAGAAAAAGTTGTCTATAGAAGAAGTTGTGTTACAAATGAGAAATCAATTACAAAGTCCAGGAGCTACAATTAGAAATATTGACAATCAATTGGGACAAATAATAAATTCATTAAGTAATAGATCTCAAGGAACA